CGAAATATCGATGAAGAAATATTTTCAGGTATTTCTTCTCGAGCCAAATATGTAAATCCAATGCATGAAAAGACTCGAAAATTTCTTGGATCAAAAAAAACGGCGCTGATAGTGTACGGTAGGTAGGTAGTGATCGGGCAGGCAGTGGCGTTGTCCATGCTCTGCGAGAGGTATGTGACAAGACAATCGTATTGCAGCGCTGTCGGGCGTGGCAAGCAACGCCGCGCCCAGCGGACGAGTTGTCCTTTCCGACCAGTTGAGCTAAAGTGTTAAAGGAACGGAGAAATTCTATATGGACCCTTGACTCTGCTAAAAATCATGCTTTTCACTGTTTCGTTGACAAACTAATGCGGATCGAAAATGCCGAGCAAATAGCTGCGCGCGACAGGGCGACGAATTGCGATTGTCTCGCCTCTCCCTTTAGGGAACATCAAGGGATGGGTCGTAGACGCGCTGCCTTGTAGTCATTTCATCCCGTCACCCTTTATTCTACCCCGTAAACCCAACCACTTTAGAGACTGAAAGAATCTGCGCAACAATGAGTGGAATTCGAAGACTACTGGACTTGGAATAGTACGCGGTAAGGCTTTACAGCGAGGCTTAACCCGGGGAAGGAGGACGCAAATAAGCAGACATATCGCTACTTCCAGTGCCCGTAGTCCCGGATTTCGTGGTTCTATCGACCTCCGAGTTTTTATAGGCTTCTTTTTTGTTCTAGTCGCTTTTTTCATGCGAATTCAGGACCATCGCTCTTCCACACACTCCGTGATGAATGCGTAGCCCATGAAATCCCAATAGTCCATGCGTCGACGAAAAGGCTGCTCAGTCGAGTTGTGCAGAAATTCCCGTATATCAGTATCATTGCTCTGTTCTATTTCCAAGGATTTGAGGTGAACTTCGGCAGCTTTTTTGATTTCGGAAACATTTTTTGGTTCACTACTTATCATGGCTTCGAAGTATTCCTAAATATTTCTTCATTCCTGGACTGAATCATTGTGAAAGCATAATGTCCCGTTCAAAGGCAAGCATTGCAGGAGCTTTATTGTGACATTATACAAGAATGGAAGGAAAGTGATTCTCACATTCATTATCATGCTGACCAAAGATCATTGTTTGCATGACTGATGAGCTTCTCACGGATTAAAGGTGCGGTTTATGCAAAGTTAATGAGCTTCGTGATTTATAGTATTTTTTGCAGAGGAGAAAGTTCTGGACGAGCTGACACGTCGAGACAAAGCATGGAAGAAAGCTGGTCTCTCCACGGGTGATCCTCTCAGGAGTGTCCAAAGGGGTTCAAGCATCCTTGCGCGTTATGAAAAAAACATGGTTAGTAATGGTAAAGTTTTCAAAATAGTGTCTGCAAAGTTCATCTTCTGTTGAATGAGTGCTTTGGAACGTTTATGTTTATAATTATTGGTGACCTAAGCCACAGTGAAGCACTATTATCTCTTAGTTTTATCTTCTCATCTTCTAAAGAATAGATGCGTCAAAGGTCTTGGGCTTATAGTTCGTGGGTTGTCGGCATTAGTGCCTTTTTGCATTACCAAACTAGAAGCCATTTACCTACAGTACCGTAAATTCATCCCACCAACATCTACAAAAATGGTGGAAAACGGGGTCCAGTTGGAATACACAATGAATATTGTAACGTCACAAGATTATATGGTCAGGTTGTCAGGATGCGTACAGTACCCCCGAAAATTGCGCGTGAAGTTAAAAATGTCGCGTCGTGAACGCACACAATCGGGCGCACCGTAACCCGGTTTAGTTACCCAAGTTTGAGGTACGTTGGATGGCTCGTGTTAAACGGCTTCTGCACAAACCGGTTGATAGACGTCTCATCCTCAACCCCAACCGAAGCGCGCGCGTCTGCGCGCGCAGAGAGGGGAGTCAGCTCTGGTGGGACTGCCGTCCTGGTAGCGATCCCGGCAGTTACCTGCTCGCGCGCTCAGGTCACCGTAGTGAGTACAAATCCTAGATCGACTCCTGCCCAAGCCAACGAGCCATCTATCCTCCGGGGACGCTGAATTGTTACCAGATTCTTCTGGAAGGATAAGAATGCTGACTTGTACGTCGGCTACGTAACCGTGCCCTACGTTGTGTGCATTTACGTCCCCCACAATTAATCTCGCGCGCAATTTCCGGGAGTACTGTATGCACCCTGACAACCTGAACTATAATCCTACTATATATAAACGGCAACGTCTGTTGTCTGTTTGTCTGTCTGTCTGTCCGGAAATTCGGAATCACCTGAAGAGCCAGTTGGAGGGGGCGGGTCAAGGGTGGGTTGGGTAGGGCATGGGCCAAGATGTACGGAACACACATGAACTGAGCTAAGCCCCGCCCACTGTGGGCGGGGCGTGCGCACAGTTGTGAGCTACATATTTCAAAAATTCGTAGTTCGGTTCCAAAAAAGTGGAAAAAGTGGCAAACGATAGGCAATCAGTTGGCGGAAGGAATGAGTGAGAAACACCCATTCTGGGTGGGGCGTTCTATAGGTGGGCGGTGCTTGCTACGAAACTTTCAAAAAATCATAGTCCGGTTCCAAAAGAGCTCGGAGAGTGGGAGAAGAGGGCAAAGACGGATAGGCCAATCAGTTGGCGGACACAGAAAGCAATGTAAGCGCACCTGATCGGCGGGGCGTCCGAAGTAAACGGTGCCGAGGACAGAATCCCTCAAAACGCATCCGAAAAACCCCAGGAAATGGGGAGTAAGGTGAAACTGAGCAATGGTTTGGCAGATGAAGTTAGTGAGGGATAACCGTAGGGAGTATACCAAATGGTTGGTACCGTCGGCAATAGTTTATTCTGCGATTCCTCATGACTAGTGGGAGAGGGCCGCATAGAAAATTTTGATA